TCAGACACAATCTCTTATATGCCCATAACAAAAAGATCCCAGGCTTTGAGTTGGCGCTCCATCAGCATTTAATAACATTTCAAACCTCTAGGAGCCTAAGAAATAACAGGATGGACACTGGCACACCTCTAAAGGGGTGAACCTCTAGAGAGGCAGAACTCTTCCGGCTCCTGCACTTCCTATTAGAGGGATCCCCATGGGGAGAAGAAACAATGTATCTCCACGGTAAAAGAGCCAAGTAACAGCACTCCTGTGATCTCGGGAGAACTCAAAAGCAGGTGGAGCTGAAATCAACCTGTGAGCCCAGCAGCAGTAGCTTCCATTCTTGATCTCCTTCCTCTTCCTTTCTCCTTTACATGGCAGATTGCATTTTAGACAAATCTAAATTATGAAATTCTGAAACATTGTAAATATGAAACCCTTACTTTGCAAAAATGTGAATCATCTGAATCCTACAAATCTTTAAAACCCATTAAATTTCAAACCCGGAAGGGCAATCAGTCACTTCACAAGGACAGGCTCTAAGAGCTATTGCCTTTGATTTTGCTGGTTTTATAGACATCACAGGGTGTGTTATAGTACTTAGATACTCCAAGGTCAGGGGTGATATTGTCTTGTCATTGGCTGAAACATGGCCATGACTTCACACTGATTAACAGTAGCAACAATGTTCAGCTGGTAAACAGGTCACACAGCCCAAGATCCATCCTGAGCCCACAAAGGCTGAGTTATATGATGTCTTCAGAGATGCATCCAAAGCACAGGTGGTCTGCAGCAATGGTCTCCCCTAGCCAATGCATAAGCTGAGCTCAGAAAAGGGGACTGTCCCCATCCTAGAAACCTACAGCCCATGGGAACTGCAAGGCAAGTGAATTCCTTTCCTGGACTTTTTCCGTAAGATGGCCTTGGGTTTTGGCTGTGTTCAAAGGAAACCCGGTTTGTAGCAGCAGGGTGTACACACACCAAGGTTTCATTACCAGTTCCACAAAGATAAACTAACTTTCCATCTGAGGCAAAGGAACACTGGCTACAGCAGCTTCTCACAAAAATGGTGTTTGTTCCTGACAGGACTATAGCACAAGACCTGTGCAGATTTCATCTGCCTGCTCATTCTTCCTAACTCCTCCCCAACAATCACTTTTTTGGTGTTTTTTGAAACAGGGTTTCTGTGTTGCCCTGGCTGTCCTTGAACTCACTCTGTAGACCAAGCTGGCCTCAAACTCAGAGATCCACCTGCCTCTGTCTCCCAAGTGCTGGGATTAAAGATATGTGACACCACCTCCTGACTCACACTCTCTATGCACTGTTTATCCTCAACTTTTTTGTTTCTATTTTGAAACAGTGTCCTCTACTACATAGCTTTAGCTGTCTTGGCCTCCAACTCACAGAGCTACCTGCCCCTGCCTCTGCCTTGTGAGTGCTGGGATCAAAGGTGTGTGCCACTACAACACACTGATCCTCAATAACTTCTAATGTCCACTAGAGGACCTGAGAGAAAGGCAATGGTTGTCAATATCAAAAAATGTTCCATCATATCTCAACTTTTTCAATGATATGCCAAAACCTATTTCTATCTTTTCACCCTCTCTTGCCAGACTTCATTCTTCCAAAGCTCACTACAGTATGCAATCAACCATGTAGATGCTCCCTCCTAACCCCACCTTTGAGACTCTTTGGGGTAAGTGGATGTCTGCTCCACCATAGGATATGTAATCAAATTGGATAGTTCTCAGCCGTTGTAGACATGAAAGCTGCAGAAGGTAATTCAAGACAGGCATCAAATCCGCTGTATTTCAGCAATGGTTCCTCCTCCTTGATGGTGGTTCCAAGCTCTGAAGACACGGGCTCTCCCACCAGGTTCCAGGGTCAGCCCCACTCTAAGTCTAACTCCACCCATACAGGACAGTGCCAGTCAGTTTCTAGGCCTGCCCTTGAGAACGGAGGCACAGGAGCAGCACCTCCCACCGATATTTCAAGGCAGATAGCTACCAGATCTCACTGGAAGCTTCTGCCTGGGATGAAATGCGCTCCAAGCGCAAAGCTGGTGCAGCCTAAGGAGGCAACTGTCATGGTTCAACTCTTAAACTTGGCTCTCCTAAAACTCTTCTTGCTAACCAACAGTGCAGGACAGTTAGGAGCACTTCTGATCAGTTCCCTGGGAGGAATTTTATGAAGAGAAACTTTAATAACATTTACTACAGACATATTTAATTAACCCTGGCACATTCCTGTTGGGGCCCTCAATGCATCCAACTGTCTAGTCTTTTCTTTCCAGGTGGCCCATATATGGGATTTTATAGTCGGCTCTGCATCATGGAATTCAGCTGTACACCTTATGTTTCTATAGCATAGCTGATTGAGAATACAGGCTAAACTGCATGGGGTGGCAATAGTAAAAATCACTATCTACAAATCTGTGTCTGGAGCCTCCATTTCTCTTAGGCACTTACTAATCACCTCACCCTGAGTGTCAGTGTGCACACACCTGCCCTGGCCATATGCAGATTCTGAGTCCCTCACCTGGAGAGAAGCACTGGTCAGAATTTTATAAACACCCCTCCCCCCATATGCATCTAACCTTTTCTCGTGAATACAATAATTGCATTTCTAGAAGAGAACTGATGTGCCCTTGGTTTATCGCTTGGGGTAGTTTGACATCAGTGTCTCTATTGGCCACACTAGCCTCAATTACTTTCTTTGGATCTCCTAGGCTTTCTCAGAGATGGCACTTTTTATCCTGTCAAGACTTATAAACATCGATGATACTTTGAGATAATGGAAGTATCAGACTGAGATATGACAACTAAATAGGGTATGGGGTCCTGAATTTGATCCTGAAACAAACAGAAAGTGGAATACTAGAACTTGTGTAAAGTCAGTAATCTAGGTAGCCTTGAAGTGGATGTAAATATCAGGAGAAGAAATGAAGGGGAGGAGAAAGCTCACTAATAGTTCATCTGAAATTCTTAATTGCAGTCTGAATCTGCAGATGGGCCTAATTGCTCATCAGCCCGTGGGTTGCTGTGGACTCTGCTACAAGACTCTGGCAGATGCAGCCTATTTCATTAAACAGCTTGCAAGTGGGCCAGCCCAATGCATCACCTTGCTGTCCCTGTGCTTGGGTAAAGCAAACACTGACTGCACTGCGCACTTCTGGGTTAGTGAACCATGCATGATAGCTGAGTTGCTTGCACTGACCGAGCAAAAAGTGAAGTGGCTAACCTGAGGGCTCACTACAGAACAAGTCAAATGAGGTGCCTAAGCTCAGTGTCTGGCCAGTCTCCTGCATCCTGGTGCCCTGCCAATACAGCAGAGCCAGAAGAACCATCCATTCAGCTGAAGGCAAACACAGAGACCATGCTTTGGCACACATCCATGACGAAGACCAAAGAAAGGAAGAAGAGAGAAATGGTCAGAAGACAATAGGCTTTGGAATTATTGTTCAAGGTGAGTGCCCTTGTAAATAATCTCTACTTACTCCTGAAAATACTTTCTAATATAAAGAACATAGTAAAAATGGGAAATGGTGGCACATGCCTTTAATCCTAGCACTTGGGAGGCAAAGGCAGGCAGATCTCAATGACTTTGAGGCCAGCCTGGTCTACAAAGTTGAGTTCCAGAGAAACCCTGTCTGGGGAGGGGTGAGGGGGAGCAAAAGATTTCATCAATTTCTGACAGAGTCTAATCTAGATTAAAAAAAAAAAAAAACGGGATCCTGGGGCACACAGGAGTGGGGCCTCACTAGGACCTCAGCAGTCTCCACAGCCACCTCAGAGACAAGTAGAACATCTTCCAAGCAAAGGAAGACCCTTAAAGATAGATAAACAGCACAGATTAAAAGTGTATGCATCAAGTCCTCCAAGTCTTAAGGGAACAACCTTGTCAAGTCACTAGAGGAGAAAACCATTTTAAAAACCCTCTCCACAAGCCCAGGGACTTCTGCCAGTTCCCTCTTGCCTTAGGGCTTAAGGCTTAGGCAATAACAATTAGCAATATTGAAGACCTGCCATGCAAAGCAAGAAGCTAACATTTACCAGGTACCCACAAAAAAAGTGATACCAAGCAAAAAAAATCAAAGAGAACTGAAAAGAACCGCTAATATAGTTTCCTCAGCCTGAAGGAGAAAATGTATTCATGAGACAAACTACTGGACAAAAGGAAAAGGACAAATACACTCAGAAACTACAATTTTGACTGTGGGTTTTTTCCCCGAGATAGGATCTCACTATGTAGCCCAGGTGAACCTCAAACTCACAAAGAATCACTTGCCTGTCTCCTAAATCCTGGAATTAAAACCGTGCACCACTGTACCCAGCAAGTTTTTTTTTTTTTTTTAAATTAGGGCTGAAAGATAAATGGAAGCTCTCTGCTGGGATGAGAATAAAAGGGATTAGAAAGAAAAATGAAGAGATTCAAGGAATCTACCCAAAATGTTTATTACACATGACAAGAATCCCTAAACGAATAAAATCAGGGGAATAAGTTCTCTAATGAGTCAAGAGAATTTCCCAGGCTTGAGGACACGCTTCCTGAGCATACCTGTAAAATGTAAAGATATTCTAATGCCAAAACCTTAAAATCGTCCAAGGAGGAAAGAGTTACCAGAAAGGAAGTACTTGGCAGAGACTCCTGTGGACTGAAGAAAGGTAAGATTGAAACACCGTGTCCTGAACTAATCAGGCGTGCAGGGAAGACATCGGGACCTACCTGAGCAGACTTTAAGAGTCAGTCACTGACCCAGATTAGAAAAACACAAAGCGGAGGTGGAGGAAGACCGAAGATTTAACACTATCCTCGAGAAGTTACAATGTCACCAGGAGCAGAAAAACAAAAGCCACTATAAACAACAGGAAAAAGGCAAGGCTGTGCGGGACAGGGACGTGACGCTAGGTGGGGAAGAGAGCTCCGGTATCGGCCCCGATGTAAACAGAGTGGAAAGCAGAGGCGGATGAACCAGCGAGAGCGAAGCCACCCAACCGGGGCAGAGAGCCAAGAACTACCGGGAGATGGGGCCACCTGAGGCGGCAGGGCGGTGCGCTGGGCCCGGGAGCACCGCGCAAGGCTCTGCATCGACAGACTGGGGTGGCTGAGCGCGGGAGACCGCGTCCGCGCGCCGAGGACGTGACAGGGCCGCCGGGCGCGGGACTGGGCGGCGCCGAGGCTCCGTAGCCGAACGTGAGCTCGGCCGCCGGGTCTCGCCCGCTCGTTCCCAGCCGCCCTGCACTCCCAACCCGGAGCCCACAGCCGGGGCGGGTGGAGGCGCGGAGGCGGCGCACGGACATTCCGCGGCCCGCTGGCCCCCGCCCAGCCAGGCGTGCGGCCCGCGGCCGTTGGCGACCGTTGGCGGCGGGGCGGGGCGGGGGCGGACGGAGATCTCGCTCTCGCTCTCGCTCTCGCCCCGCGGGAAGGGGGAGTGGAGGCGCGACCGGCTGCGGGAGCTGCAATTACCGTGTGGGCTGCGGAATTCTCGTGGTGTTTGTCGGGGAGATGCGATAATGGCGTCCGTCCTCGCGAGAGAAGCAGCCGCTCTGCGCAGGCGCTGCGAGCACCTCCCCGCGCCCTGCGCCCCGCCCTCAGCGCAGGCTCCCTGGGCTCGGGGCTCGAGGGAGGAGCCAGGCGCACAGGGGGTGGAGCCTGCTCTGGGCGCCTCTAGCGCGCGCTTTCGCCGACAGACTCAGGCGAACATGCGCAGTTGTCCTCCCATGCCCCGAGAGTTGACTCCCGAGGCCCTTATTTCCCATCTCACGTCCGTGCTTTTTGGTAAAGAGGTAAATTCTCTCGTGGGCTATCAGAAATGTATGTCCTTTCTGAGAGGGAGTTAATAGAAGCTAACGCTGCCCAGATGACTACAAATCCCAGAGTATGTTGTGTATGGCGCGATTCATTCTGGGACTAGTAGTCTCCGCGGTTACAATTTGCCAGCTGGGATTTGTAGTTCATCCGGATGCTGGCAGCTGCGTCCCTTCCCTGCCCTGAGGGCTACTGGGACTTGTAGTAACAGCAGCTCAGTTAAAATGTGCGCTTCCAAACCGGTCCTCCCTACTCGTGCCGTAGATAAGGTCTCAGACGTTCCGGGCTTGTTTAGTGATGTCGCCTCAAAAACTGTCCGACTCCAGTGAGGACAAGCATGTAACGCGGACACTGTCGCGGTGAAAGAGATTATATGTGACATGCTTATGTATTTTGGAATAGGCGTTCCTGCGGCATCAATATGCACTTGTTCTCAGAAATACCACTAGTGGCTGTCTCTGCACTTGGTCTTTCATTCATATTCCTCTCCGGGCTTGTTCCTTCCCCTTGTTCGAAGTGAGCAATCCTCCAAACCAGGATCCGGGAGCTATTTTCACCTGGAAAGAAAATACTTTTCTTTAAGTTTCCTGCCCCCTCTTCTGTGCCGATAGTGAAGTCAGGACTCGGTGCATCCACCAGCTGGGCGACCTTAGGCGACCTTACTGAGTTAACAGCCCATCCAGACCACTACCCTCTGTCTAGGGGGCTGGTCCTGGGCTACTTTTGCCTCCAAAGTGTCTTGAAGACTTCAACCTGGAATTGTGCTGTTAAAATGAGACCTGTCATTTACAAAGATGAGAATGAAGTGCAAAGAGGCTGAGAAATTGCTGAAGGTGGCAGCTGGAGTCAGGAGGGCAGGCTTTGGGCGTCTGTGTGAAGTCTTATAATTTAAAGTTGCCTCGCATCCATGTAGAAAGCAAGTTGGCAGCCTAGACTACATAGCAAGTTCCAGGACAGCCTCATGTTGCAGCGGGGTGAGGGTTGAAGGTAGGGTTGGGATGTGTTGAAAAGCCGGTTTCTCTTCTAGGAGCAGGCGACATCACCACGGACGGACAGCGCTTGTATGCTGTCTCTTGTATAACTTCCTTCTGGTGACCTCGGGCCTCTGGGACTGCAGGATCCAGCCTACTTGATGGAGACCACCCTAGCACACAAGGCAGATATGTCACATGGACTACCCCCACAGTCATGTGTAACCTCCTGGAACAACCTGTTTGCTCAAACTATCTCATGAAATTTGTTTGTACTTGATCTTAGCCAAAAGATCAAGGAGCAAGCCTGGCAATGGTGGCACACGCCTTTAGTCCCAGCACTCAGGAGACAGAGGCAGGCGGATCTCTGTGAGTTCCAGGCCAGCCTGGTCTACAGAGCTAGTTCTAGGACAGGCTCTAAAGCAATACAGAGAAACCCTGTCTCAAAAAACAAAACAAACAAACAAACAAAAAAATGTCAAGCTAATCAGAGCCAGAATCCAGAGCCAGAGTGCTGTAGTGTGTGTGAGTGTGTGTGTGTGTGTGTGTGTGTGTGTGTACATGAGGGTTCATATGTTCATAAGTGTTTGGGATACCATGACCCTCAGCAGTCACCCATTTTGTTTTTTAAGACATGGTATCTCAATGGGACCTGGAGCTTGCAGAATAGGTGAACCTGACTGACCAGCAAACTCAAGTGACCCTCAAGTCTCTGCCTCCCCAGCTCTGGGATTACAAGCCCACCCCACTATGCCTGGTTATTATACATGGGTTCTGGGGTTCATGTTTTGCTCCCCATGATCACAGGGCATGCACTTTAACAACTGTGCCATTTCCCCAACCCTCTTTGGGATATGTTGAAGGGGTTGTCTGAGTGCCATAGAACCTCATGGAAATGAGAGAGGACAACTTGAGAGTGTTCTCTCCTTCTACCATCTGGATCACAGGAATCAAATCCAGGTATTCAAGCAGAGATCTCTTTTTTGAGACAAAGTGTTGTCCTGGAACCCAGGCTGGCTTTGAACTTGCAGTCCTTTTGTCTCTGCTTCCCCCATAACTGGTTGACCAGCTTGTACAGCGAGGCAGGTGTGTCCCTCCGTTTTCCTTTACTGGGTTGCTGCTGCTCAAAATTCTCAACCTTCTTTGGGAGCTTTCCAGAGCTCATGGACACACAAGAGAGGATGGGGTAAAGGCCTTGGCAGAGTTCCCAAGCAGAAAGTGAACTGATCACGCCATGCATTGAATGGCTACCAACCAGCCATGTTTTACTAGGATCCCTATTCTTTGTGAAGAAAACAAAAATACATAAGTACCAGGCAGTGCCCCTAGATCATACATGGTACACAGAGAGGAAAGTTGGATGTCTTACTGAGAAGCAGTGGGAAGCCTTGTCAAGGTTTGGAAAAGGGTGAATGTGAACAGATTTGTGTTCTGAAAAGCCACTCTGCCTGGGGTGTTGGGGAAACAATGGGGGCCCTGCTTACCTGGGGAAGGGCAGCTGTAGAGGCTCTGCTGGGGCCAGCAAGGATGATGGAGGCCTGGAGTAGGAGGCAGTGTAGAGATGTGGACACATGGGAGAGGTTCCCACACTCAGGCTGAGGAGGGAGAGGAGATCCACACCATCAGGGCCTGGACTTGCCCTCAGGTGGACAGAGACACAGTCCCCTGTATCGAATGGCTGCTGGCCTCCACCCAGGTTGTGGGGACAGCCTCTCCTTGTATCGGGCACACCAAGGCCTTTGGTAATCGCCTCCTCCTCATCTACTCCACCCAAGAAGCTGTCAGTGAAGACTCTCTCACTAGGAACCAAGATGACAGTTCAGGATCACAGGAAAGAACAGCTCTCTGTGCCAAAAGAGTGGCTGCGTCCTTCTCCAGGTGGGGACAGTGGTGGCAGCAGGGTGGGCTGTTGTGGTGCTCACTCCTGGCTCTAAAGCTGACTCACTGAGGAGCAACCCTTCAGAAGTGGGGCCTTGACCTTTCCCCTGACCTATGAGCTGCTAGCCCAGAAGAACTCTGTGATGTCCTCAACTACTCACCAGACTGGGCCTTTAGAAATCAGCAGTGTCCTTTTCCTGTGTCCTGGGACCCTTGCCCTTGACCCACTTAGCCCCAAGCTGCCCTGCAGAAAGAAACCCCAGCCAGCACCTTCCAGACAGCCACAGAAGAAGCCATATTGTAGTGAGGGCGCCACACCGTGAGCCAGCACAACTGACACCACAGGGAGCAGAGAGGAGCAGGGACCACAGAGCCCAGCCAGAAATGCACACGCGTGACCTGCTGAGCTGGGCTCCTTTCACCTCACCCTCTCAGCCTGTTTCCTTAGACAGCAATGACAGCCGGAGTGCAGGCTCCCATGGAAGCTTCCTGCCACCAACCCCCAGACATCCCACGGTAGCCAGCCCAGGGGTTGGGTGACAGGCCCTACTGTGTTCTCCAGGCATCTGCTGTGTTCCTCACGTGTCCTGGAACTGCTGAAGTAGAGTGGTGGCCACATGTACTTGAAGACCTCCTGCTTGGCCAAACGTTTAGCTGCGCTTTCATTCCAGTCAGTCTCCTCAGTATTGTTTGTGGGATGGGCTCAAAATCCATGAGCGTCCTAGCCCGGCCACTTGCCAGCTAGGAGGTGCTCCCAACCCAGGCCACCAGTCCCAGCAGCACAGTTTCCTCCATCTTCAGAACAGAGATACAAATGCCACAGTGTAGAAGCCAGTTTAAGGAAAGAAAAGGAATTTATTTGTGCCAGCAAGATGAATCACTAAGTAAAGATGATTGACACCAAGCCTGATGACCCCAGAACCAAGATGGTGGAGGAGAGAACTGACTCCCACAAGTTGCCCTCCGCCCTCCACATGTGTCTATGTGTACTCATGCACAGAATAAATAAGATGCTATTTAAGTTTTTATTCCTTTTTTAAATGAATGTATTGATTATATAACTGACTTAAATAATAATAAAGACAAAGATTAAAAACAATACAAAATATGAAGCACAATTCCTTTTGTCTTCTCCTCTCTTTGTGTCTGTCTCTCTGTCCCTCTCCCTCCTTCCCTCCTGTCTTCTTTCTCCCCCTCTTGGGCCCACAGGTCACCCACACTTCGTCCCAATCATCTAGGTTTTGTAGATTTAAGATCTGGAATCTGTGATGTGAGACTTCCCATGCTCTCGTAGACTCGAAACTTAGCAGTACCAATGAACGCTCTCATGTGTCTTCCCTTGGGGCCCCTTTAGGAAAGGGTGTTGGAGGACAGATGACTGCTCCAGAGTGGGGCTTCCTGAGGCCAACGCAAAATCCAAGCAGCATGGCCAGGGCCACCAAATACACTTTGCCCTATGTTGACCCTTTAAGCATGAAAGGAACACTGTTGGTATTGGTGGCAAACCTCCGGGCAGAACCCAGGGGCTCTCCAGGGCATTGTACCTCAGGAACTACGTTTGGATCAAGTGGGGTCTGGGCTGAGGAGATGGGTCCAAGGCATCTCAGCTGCCCTTGGCAATCGGAACGCCCAGTCACAGCCCCACTCAGCCACTGTGGCTGCACTAGTCCTTCTGCTCTTGAACCTGCCCGCTTCCGTCCAAAACAGGGCCAGCACCACAGGGGGCAGGGACTTTGCCCTCACCCACCTTTCACATCCTTTTCCTGGTGCTCTCGGGG